GATTTGAAAGCAGAACACATTTGCTCCATGTAGTGACGAAAGCGGAAATATAGTGAAGTTTCACAAAAACAATGAAATAAAAAGACATTTATACATAACCTAAGTTTCTTTGATTTTTAACACCTACAACCTGTCGCAAATGGGTTTTTATTTTCTTAAAAAAAAAAAAGGTTTGAAGAACCTGTTTTCTAATGGACAGGGATTTTTATTGCCCGTTCCAATGAGTTTAATGGAAACATGTCCTCCCTTCAGGTCATAGAAACATGAATTCCACATAATTTCCATAATTCTTTTTGAGAATATGGGGTTTACTTTTTATGAGAAAGCAGTAAAGCAAAAATGATATTTTAAATGTTTAAGAAATATGTAATTAGAGAGTGAAAACCATACCAAAATCAGGAAAAATGTTTGGAGTGCAGTCAATAGAGTGGTAGTGCCCATGAAAGGATAAGCCCATAGAGGATAGAATTCGCATTTGCTCGCTTAAAAAGATGCATAAGAGGAATATTCTCTAGAGAAATATTATGATATTGAAAATATATGTAAAAAATCATCTCAATTGGTATGAAATCTAAGTTTTCGATGGGTTTACTACATTACAGCAGAATTTCGAAAATTCACAAATTATTTACTTATATTAATTATTGACTTATGCTAAACTAAAAAGGCAAAGTCATATTAAACATTTTTTTCAAAATTATTCATTTGACATCTCGTGGGAACCCGTATTATTTACAATGAAATTTGACAAAGTATATCACAGGAAATGTAGAGATGGATATGCTTGTTTTGAATGACTTAATCTTCTTAATTTTACCTAGAATAATAAAGTATTCCGAAAGATGATTCTGTTAATGTTGCTAGTCATATCTCCGAGATTAGACATTGAGTAAAGTGTAAAAATCCTTGTATTTCCATACATTTTTGTTATGGAATTTGGAACTAATCGTCGTAGACGAGAGGCCTAACTGATAGCACTATTTCACATCGATATCTAAATCGATTCGGAATTATAGATTACACCAGAATTTGAATGTCATTAAAATAATACTTGTCAACAGCAACATGATGATTAACGTTAAGCCCAAAACTTTTATGAACTCACTGACCGATAAGTATTTCCCACATGAGGAGTGGAAGTAATGGATACTATACCAACAAATATTCATAAATAGAAACAAAAAAATATGTGGTAATCAAATTTTTTTTCCGCAATGCGTCCTTCTTTTGTTTATTTCTTACAGAAAAAATCGACATCAATTTATCCGATCTACCTCCCTCCCCCCATCCCATGCCTTGTCTTAGCTACTAATGTTGCCCTTCTAATGATTTATGTCATCCGGGGAAAGCATGTAAATGTTTTAGCGTAGCCGTGGCGGTATGGGTCTAGTCAATAGTTTATGCGTTTTGTCTCTGCTGCCTAAAAGGATAAACATCTTTATTAGCGTCACCATTGTGGCTGGTTTTTTGTTTTTCTTTCCTAGCGAAATAAACAGCAAAAAACAAAGCCTCTCTCTGTAGCTATTGTTCTCCCATGCTTCTCTGTCTCCGCGTGTATATACCTTCCTCATTCATAGCGATTCTGGCTCAATGGGGGTTCGACAGATTTCCCAGCTTCAATGTATTTAGCACTTGACCTAAATTACTTCATTTTTACATTACAATAATGAAATGTCGTCAGCCAGCCACTGACTGCTTCCAACCAATCGACCATATAGGCCGGACAAACAACACCAGCAGAACGTTGTGAAGAAAAAAACAGTACGAAAGATTTACCACAAGAAAAAAGATTGTGGCGGGAGGGGGTGAAATTATACAAAATTAAGAAGCCGCTAAACAACAAAAAATGAATCGGAGAAAAAAGCTTGATTTTATTACAGCAATGCAATACTGGCTTCTAGGTCTAGATTATGTTCACAGCACTAGGGAATGACTGTTAATAATGTCAAATTGTTTGGTTAAACAAAACACCAACTAATCAAGTATAATGATTCTTTTAGAAGTCAGGACTTGGATATCGGCGAATTTTCCCAAATTACTTCAGAAATTAAGAACAGCTAAACATCTTTTTTGCTGATTTATTTCAGTTTCTTTTGGTAATCACTTTAGGGCCATTAATTTAATTTTCTTATCATCTAACGCATTTAAATAGGCATATCAAACAAGCCGAAAGCAAACAAACAAATAGCAAATAATGTGTGAAATAAATAAACTTGTGGCTTAAAGCCTACGGAGATGTGAGGCAGTACTTTTTATTTTATATTAACGAAGCCTTGGAGCACTTGTCTGCTTTGCTATCAAGAACACCACAGCAACTTTCAAAACCAGAAGACCATTCAAAAAGTTTTTTTTCTCTTTCAAAATTAAGAACATCAGCTCCTTCAAGTCTCAAGGTGCTTGCAATTCTATGCATCTATACGTTGAAAGAGCAGGCCGTGTAAAAAAAGATTAAACAATTTGGTTACAGTATTAGAGTCCTCATTATGGAGTTGGAGTTGGTTTGTTGATATTTTGCTAAAGAAAGTGTTGTGTGTGAGCTAAAAAAATGGACCCCTAGAATCTATGGGAATGGCACAGTAGTTCAGTTTTTGTTCCAATATGATGGCCATAAAAATCTCAATTTGCAAACAAGCATAGAAAACAAAATAAAGAAAAAAAAACAAAAATGTGTTCACACACAAATTTTAGTAAACAGCCCAACAACCAATTTGCAGCATCTAAATGTTAATCTGAAACAGCCAAGTGCCTACGAATGTGGGGAATATTGATTTTTTTTTCTCGCACCCATTACTGGCGACAGACAAATTCAAAGATTTATCTTTAATTCTGCCAAATCCACACCAGAGAAGTGAGTCACTTCGCAATTTTTTGCTGAGTTACGACTATTATGATTTATGCTGGTGCTTTGATGTCTCGCAATGATAAGTAACAAATATTGCTACAAACTAACGTTGTTCTCGATGATAAAAATGATTAGGTTGTTCGCCAAAATTCTTAACGCCCACAAGACTCATGATGATCATAATGTTAACGGAGTAGTTTTCAACAGAAAGGAACAGGAACCTCCTGAATTGAAAAAAAATGCTGCAATAGATATTTATGGATATGGTTATTATTGCATTAATAAAATGGGAGATATTCAGTCAAAGACATCACGCAAATCACTGACCCCCAAAATTTCTTAATGGGAACACTTTTTTCAGCGGTTTGGTGTCATATCAAAATTTTAATATTATCAAAACTGTAAAAAGTGAATTCAAGGGCTATTCTAGTTCATCTTTTTGGCTTTGTGGACTAACAACTAGCCAGTGGTATTCTCATTGGCAGTCAATATGAGGCGGTAAATTGGCAAATTTTTTTTATGGTTAATGTAAAAGGAACACCCTTTATTTCTTTCATCTGTTTGCTCTCTTGTACAATGCTATTAAAATATTATTGTATCTAATTGAGGAAGAGTTCTCTTTTTTCCCTATTCGCCATACCATAACAATGGGCGCAAATGTCTCAACATCCATGGTGTGGGCGAAAAAACAAATCAAATTACTTGGCAAATATTTACAATTACTTTGAGTTGGAAACGAACAACAAACATAGGGAACGGATAGTTTCAATATGCTTGCATTCGACGTATTCGAAACAATAGGTTGAAGAATACATCATTTTTCTTATTCAAATATACCAATACCTTCTGAGGACCAAGGACCCAGAAAAAAAGAAAAGTGAAAAAACCCATATTTTTTAAAACGTATTTCCATTAATTGCAATCATAAAAACAAGACAATTGTCATAAAATCAATATTAATACTCTGTTGAATAATTGTTGATATTTACCGATACATGATTGATCTGTGCCGCTGCTGCTTGCGTTCGCTTTAATCCTTTGCGATAACTTTCTTCAGTTTCCTTGGCTTTTAAGATGTTGGAGGTAATTATTTTTTTTTTTTACTTCTTCAGCAGTTATCCTTTTTCTATTTCGCTAATGTATTGGTTAAGTCGCTTTTTTAACACAGTAAAATTCTATATATACATATATATTCATCTATGAAAGGTCAAAGGGGTCAGCCAATCGACACAAAAGTAAAATACTTAGGTGTTCAATTGTCGTCAAATCAAAAAAACAAACAACACTTTTAATTGCATTGATTGATTTTTTATTTGCGGAAATATGAATGCCGTTACACACGGTTTGTCATTTTCTTTTTCTATTATAATTTTAGGTTCTTTCTTTTAAGCAAAGGCAACAACGGTTGGGGTGACAGGGACGACGTACAGCTACGAGGATGACATCGAAACACTGCCAATGTTAATATCTTTCACCTTCAATACATTTTTCTTCTTTTTCGTAGTCGTCTTCTATGCTTTTTTACATGCACTAGACACAAAAGCAAACTACTGCCCTCCTACCAAATTACAAACATTTTGTTTGTGCCTAGGTTTGTGTGCTCCTCAACTTATACAATATATGGCATAATCTCTTAAAAGAAATCACAGCCTAAAAGTAGGCAAAAAACGTTCACAATGATTAGAAATATAAATAAAGGGATGAAACACAAAAACTGCAGAGGGCAGAGTTTCTGTGAATGTAACGTAGATGCTATTTAATATGAAACCGGCTAAATTAAGCCCCCCTCCTATAGAAAAATAAAAAATTGTATTTAAGAATTCTTGGATAATAGAATATTCATTCGGGGATAAATTGTCATATTCTTTAGTTTTTCATAAATTTTCTTTGAAGACCCATATCGGCCGATCAAGACTAGATAATTATCAATTTAAATGTCAAAATGCATTATTGAAATCACAGTACGAAGGAGCTGCAATTGGGAAACAAATTTGGAATTTTTGTATGATTTGGAACGGCTAGTTGAACACCTTGCTGTGCCAAGTATAAGTCTGTCTTTAAGTCTTAATATTTTAATTAAAGATTAAATAAACATCACAAAATTAATAAACATAACAAAATATATAAAAAAAAACAATATTTTGAAATTAAAAATTACCTTTGCTTATATCCATTATAGCCATAGGGTGGATAATAGGAAACGTTTCGAACATTTTGACCATACATGATGGCTAAAACTTAAAATTAGGTGAAAACTGAAAAATTAAAAAAAGAAAAGAAGTCCCATTAAACAAAAAAGAAAAAAATGTAAACTAAAATTTCAAAATTAAGACAGCGTGTGGCTGGTACATGTGCGATTCCCAACTAATTCTTTTCCCATAAAATGTAGACTAAAATTTCAAAATTAAATTAATTGCGTGACTTTAAAGATGCATTTTAATAAGCTTTTCAGAAATCAAGAATTTAATAAAAAAAAAACCTATATATACATGTATGATGAGGTATTTTCTTTAGGCGAAACGTAATTCTTCCATGGGAAATTTTAAATAAGTTTACGGCAATTCAAATATTGGTATCCAGTTAGTGTTTCAAAGTCAAACTGCAGAAATTAGACATATTTCAACATTTATGCATAATGCGTGCAATAAAACAAGACAAAGTAATAACTTTAAAAATAATAAAAAAATATTGAATATGTTCGTATAAAAAACAAAACGAAAAACCTATACCGTAAAGAGGGAAGAAATCCCAGCATTTAATACATTTGAAAACATGTGGCAACTTTTCCCTATTGATCTTGAGAGAGTAACCGGCTTAGGTAAGAAAAAAAATAAAAAAAAACTTATGCTCTCACAAAAAATTAACATTTAAATTAATTATGCCGAATCTTTGTAAACAAATTTTATTGGCGAGTCAATATAAATTGTTTTTGAATGGGGAGCAAAAACAATGTACAGCGTGGAGCACACAAACACAACAATCTTTTTTTATACAGACGATGAAAATGTGTAAGGTGTGCTTGTATGTGTGCATGTGTCTTTAGCGTCATTTCATTTTGTAGGAATATGGAATCTGCAAATTCATTCAAGATTCCAAAAATGTTCATTCATTTGCTAAACTGTCTAGGCTCTAAAAGATTCTTTATTTCATTTATACACAATTCCACATTGATTTCATGCACTCTTTGGCCACCCTCAACTATTTCCCAGTAGCAACACACACGCGCCACTACCACACCACCATCACCATAAAATAGACACTGCAAATATATTTTCCCTTCTGGCGAAGACTTCCAAAATGAAAATTGTTTGCATCGAACACCCCCATTTTATTTTTCACAAAATACACACCAACACCAAGTTGCAATAGTTTATTGTAATTTTTTTAAGAATTAATGTACACTTTTTTACGAGAGCGGACGAACGAGCTCTGGCCTCTTTGTGGTCTTAATAAAGCCTCGGTTAGATTAAATTCCCGATGGATTTGCAAATATAAATATGTTTGTTACTTCGCGCCGTGTAATTTGCTAGCTATTTTCTTAACAAAAGATAAATTCTAGTCCGTCGCTCACGTCCACTTCACAATTCTGTGTGAAATAGGGACATGTAGGTAGCAAAAAAAATCCAAAAGATTTATCGAACATATCGATAATTTCATGAATCATATTTAAAGTACACTACACACTGGCGAACATAAATGACAGCAGTTGCGCACCAGAAATCACCTTAGCAAATACTATGCTGTTTTTGTTTAACAGTCCGCAACGTACAACGATTATAAAAGTGGGTAGAAGTATCAAGGTAGCATTGTTCAATCATATGATTATGACGTTCTTATTATTAGGTTGTCGGAAACTCTTGCTCTGTTCCAGAACCTGCAAGAATCTCCTTGTTTTGCATTTTTTTTCGATATCATAAAGAAAAATCGGTTATCGTAGTAAAAAGTTTTACATTTGGAACATGGTACAATAAGGAGGTAAAACAGCTTCGTAAAACTACAAAAATACAGCCCTGATGTTATGCCCGCTTCCTGTCAGACTCATTCAAAATTATTTTCATTTTTTTCTTATATTTTTCCTCATTTTTAAAATGAGTTAAATACCGCGAAAATGAACTTAATGTCTAGATTTTTCTCTCAAAAAAAATGATCCTAACTGTTCAATCTTTCAATTTCATGGCTATACTTGTTAATAGCTTTAATACACGAGCCGCAATTCATGTGTCTTCCAATCATTGATTTTTGAAAATATTTTTTTCAAAAAATTAATGCATACACAAAATTGGCAGAAGTCGGGCACACTTAGGAAAAAATTGAATAGGAATTAGGAATTGCTCTAACTTAACTTTTTATTGTACCATGATTTGGAATAGAGCAAATTTTTCGTGCTCGATTTGAATTAAGTTCAAAACACGTTCGATATTTATTTAGCCCATTAATGGTACATTTGCATCTACAGCATCATGTTAGAACTAAGAAGGTAAAGTCATGTAATCATATGTTTACAATTTTTTTCTCATTGCCAACATCTATATTCATAATTCCATTGTATACACACAAAATCAGAGATGGAAACTGTTTTTTATGCATTGAAATTTGACAAGGTAAATTACAGAAAATGCAGAGCTGGGAATGCTAATTTGAAATGAGTTTACATTTATTTCATTGTACAATGAGGGAAAATCGATTATCGTAGTAAAAACTTTTACATTCTTGCAGATCTGTAACAGAGCCTATAACTCCAGTGCATATTCACATATCAGAGATGGAAACTTTTCTTCTATGCAGTGAAAATTGACAGGGTAAATTACAGAAAATGCTGAAATTGTTACGGCTATTTGAAATGGCTATATTTTTTTTTTTCGAAATTATTCACTTGACAACATCTCATTGGAAACATGTATATTTATGACTCCATTGTATATTCATAAATCAGAGATGGGAACCTGTTTTCTAGGCAATGAAAACTGACAATAACTACGACTATACAAAGCATAATCCTTTAATTTAGGAATACATTTTATTCTGAAATGAGGAAAGAAGCATCGTTTTTAATTTTTATTGTTAATATTATTGACAATTTGCCATTATTGGAAATACATTTGATACTTCTTTTACTTACAACATTACGTCAGCACTTGCAGTTACTTTGTACTAATTACGCCATGATTTGATTTATAAAGAATTTTGGATGACGTACATAATTTCAAATTTGAACAATTTCAACATTGAAAAATGAACAATTTATTCTTTTGTGTGTTGAACATAGAAATGAATAATACAAAAAAATGTTTATGTTTCTAATCGGAAAATATAACAATTGGTTAATTCTAAGAATAATCAGCTTTTACAACGTCATTATTTGAGAGATTTTGTGATATGACGTGTATTTCACCACAGTGGGGAAGATATAAAAATGTGTCTGCTACGTCAAGTTTTAGAGAACGCTGTAAAGTACAAGAATTGGATCCTTCCTACAGAGGTATATTCAATAAGCTCACCCAGTAGAGGAATACAGATCTTAAGGTAGAGCTACTGAGATATACATATATTTAACAATAACATTTTTTAGTTTTCAAATTTCCATCATTACACATGTACATTGATTAAAGATCATTGATACTGCCTGGGCTTCAGTCCAATATTTACACCATTCTTGGAACGCAAAACTATTTTCATCGAAACTTGGACTTCTTCGCCTAGTGGCAGCAATTCAAAGTTTCTCAGAATCTTTATCAGTATGGTGCGCATTTCATATAGGGCGAATCGTTGTCCTATGCAATTCCTTGGTCCCGCACTGAATGGTATGTTACTGTAACCAGTCGCTTTGGTATTGCCCTCATTTTGATGGCGATCGGGCTTGAAGGATAATGGATCAACGAAGTTTTCAGGGTCCCTCAGAATTTCCCAAAGCAAAATGACAACGTTAGCGCGGCGAGGTATGGTGCAGTCGTCTGAAAAATAGAATGCCACAAATTGGGGTTTTTATCAAATTAAAGTTTTAAGTAAAACAGGAACACAGTAAAGATGCTGGCCATGGCTTGCTTGCTAAGGTGTATAAATCAACTAGCCAAGTGACTTCGATACATTACAATCATGGTACAATAAGGAGATAGAACAGCTTCGTAAAACTATAGATATAAAGCCATGAGGCTATATCCGCTTTCTGTCAGAAATATTCAAAATCTTATGCAACAAGCTGTTTTCATTCGCAATGTGTTTTTTTCGTCATTTTTAAAATTATTTTAGAAAAGTGCCAAAGTTAAATGAAATGCTTGCCTTGTTTTTTCAAAACTATGCTCCAAACAGTTCAATCTTTCAATTCAATGGCTAAACTGGTTAAATATCTTTAATTCGCGCTCCGCACTATCATTGATTTCGAAAATATTGTGTTTTTGTTTTTCAAAACAATAAATACACACACACAAAATACGCAAACAAAGTCGGACACACTTTGTAAAATTGTAATCAGCTAGTAGCTCCACCTTACCTTTTTATTGTACCATGATTACAACACAAGCTCATGCTGCAACACAGGTCAACGGTCCGTGTTGGTGTCATTGTTGATGACTTTTTTTGTTTTGTTTGATGCGGAACCCAGAACAAAGGGGGAAGGTTAATTCTGTCCGGTGCCCATGACGTTTCCCAACTTGGTCCACTAAAGGGGACTTTAGTCTAAAAGGTTAATTCTGTCCGGTGCCCATGACGTTTCCCAACTTGGTCCACTAAAGGGGACTTTAGTCTAAAACTGCACCAAACGATAAACAATGTAGCAACGCCCCAACCATTTACTCTTTTTTTTCTCATTCTTACCCAGCTTCAACTCCCTGTCCAGGCAACGGCCAACAGCCGGTATTGGTGGAAATAGACGCAGCGATTCTTTTATAACGCAATTCAAATAATTCATTTTTTGCAAGTCCGCGTAGCTGATTCGCCGAATCAAATCATCACCGAAATTCGATCGGATCTCTTCAAAAACTTTGTCCTGAATTTCTGGGTGACGCGATAGTGCATAGAGGCAAAATGATATGGCCGATGTGGTGGTGTCATGGCCTTCGAACATGAAAGTGTTGACTTCATCGCGAATTTGCTTATCGAGCAGGGGCTGTCCATCAACCCGGGCCTGTAGCAGAACATCTAGAAATGCTAGACGCTTCTTTGCACCAACACCATCACCGTCAAACTCCATCTCGTCTGTCGTGTGCCTTGCATCGGCATGCAGAAGCGATTGCTTGCGCTCCTCGATAATTCTCTCAGTAAAGGCATGCATAACATTGATGCCCTGCTTCAGTTTCATGTGCGTATTCCATGCCAGGAGCTGGAAGGATAGATGGGGGCGTACAAAGCGATTCGCCATTATATCTGTAACTCTGACAACAATTCGAACAATTATTTAATGATGATGCAAACCATTCTGCCACAACACTCACTCATTGACGGCTTGGATTAAGTCTGACTTCGAATCCGACTGGGCATTGATGACAACTCCCATTGCGGTCTCTGCAATCAAATTTTGGTTAGAAGCAAGTCAAAGAATTACAGACAAGTTGGACAGCAGTACCAGCAATTATATCCAAAGTTAGGAGTCCCACTGGTTCGTAAATATTGACAGGAGTGATTCCATCGGCCTTCGATTTCAGTTTGGCAATCAGGGCGTCACTTTGTCGATCAAATACCTCTACAAACCCCTCCAGTATTTTGAAGTGGAACGTGGGTGTGATGATTTTTCGCATTGTCTGCCACGATTTTCCGCTGCTCAGCAAGAGTCCATTGCCCAGCCAACTGGTGAGCATTTTGTATACAAAGTTCTTGCTTAAATTCTCGTTGCTGGCTAGCAATGCGTCCACAATTCGATGATCCGTGGTAACCACAAAGACCATGCCAAGCAGAAAGGACCCGAATGTCTTGCCGTATCTGAGTATGAATTCATGCCACTTCCTGTCGTAGTCTAGCAAACAAACAATGGAGGTGATTTATTGATTAGAAGCTTCTTTGAATTCTGGCCGATCTTACTGTCGGGATTTAACTGAAAGAGCACCGCAATCGTTCCAATAAAGGGTATGTGGGAAACCAAGGGAATATTTCCCAAGGTGGCGATGACTTTCTGGCGTCTAGAGTAGTCTGCCACCAGGAGGATTGCAAACACGGCTAAAAGTATTGGCCATAGCATTTTTACGAAGGTGCACTGCCTAAAGGGAACACCCAAGGTAGGAAAATATTCAACCAAAGATTAGATCATAGTTACCGTCCTTAGATTAGATACAGAGGCTAATCTATAACACGGTGTTCCCGACCCCTGACTACTTCTCTCGGGAAAATAGTTAAAAAAACAACAAGTTTTCCGTTACTTCGTCCACCACACCATTTAAGTGCATTCGTGCCGACAACCTGATTGCGTTCAATATCGATTTCGAACAAAACTAAAATACGTCACAGATGCCTTGCGTTTGGTTGTTTTCTTATCTGCGAAATCGGGTTCTTTGATGCCAATGTGAGGAAAAGAAAATGCAGGGAACTTTGTAGTTCTTTACGAAAAGCTTTCGAGCTTTCGGACACACGGCTTTTCCCAATGACGAATGATGGAGGTTTCTACGAGACTTAAGTATAACAGTTCCCCACGAATGTCAAACGACTACTGGCAGTGTCCGAAGAGAGAAAGGCGTTCAAATAGCCGACAAAAAAATGCAACAATCGGCAGTTTTAAAATTGGCGCACACGTGCCATGCGATAAGACAATTTGTTGTTTTTTATTTCTTCGCGGCACAGGCAATGTCCGCGAACACACCGACACACACACACACTTCAATTCAGCTGCGAAACTATAGCTTGTCAACTATCGACAAAGTGAACGGTGTTTTTTTTCACTCATTTATAAACAAGAGATATCCTCGGCGTCGTTGGCTTCCTTCATTTTTTTGTGGGCTGTGTCACAGGGCATTTACAACGATTGATCGTCTGAATTTCTGTTGCATTTTTGCAACAAATTTATTATTCTTTCTTTTATTTACTGTTCGGCGTGGAAAAAAAAAAAACTAAAACAAAATGCATTGTCGACTTAATACTGTCTGGGCTTCAATCCAATGTGGTTTCCATTGGCCGAGCGCAAAATTAAATTCATCATCGGTCTGACGTCGGGTCCCAAGGGCAGTAGTTCGTAGTGGCGCAACATTTTGCTTATGGTGCTCTTCATTTCCAAAACAGCAAACTTCTGGCCAATGCAGTTACGAGGACCCGCCGAAAATGGAATATAAGCATAGGGATCGATGTTGGCCCCGTTCTCCACAAGGAAACGTTCCGGCTTAAAGGAGTCCGGATCGGGGAAATATTTGGGATTGCGGAGGCACACGAAAAAGCCCATTGTGAAATTGGTACCAGCCGGAATTTTCTTGCCACCTGCAAAAAAACAAGAGAGGTCTATTGTTTTCCATATTCCACGATAGGATATTCGTGTACTTACGAATTTCAACGTCTTCGGTAAAATATCGACCAATCATGGGTACTGGTGGATAAAGACGCAATGACTCCTTTATAACACACTCCAGGTATTTCAATTCACCCAAATCCCTCAGCGACACTGGACGCTCTTTGTCGGTGCCCAGCACTTCTACGATCTCCTCCATTAATTTCTTTTGGACTTCGGGATGTCTGGCAATGAGGTAGAGGGCGAATGATATGCCACTGGTGGTGGTGTCGTGGCCCTCAAACATGAATGTATCCACCTCTTCGCGGATGTCTTCATTGCTCAGGGGAGCCCCGTTGATGGTTGACTGCAATAGCACATCCAACAAGGCCATGCGCTTCTTCTGTCCGAGGTCATCCTCTTCGAGGGATCGATTTTGGTCAATGGTCTTTTGCAGTGACTCCCTTCGCTCCATAATTATGTTCTCGGTAAATTGGTGCATCAATCGGATGCTCTCGTTCAATCGCTTGTATTCTGTGGGCGCCGTCAGACGGAATATCCAATCGATTCGATGCCAAACGTTGATGAAGCGCTTGGTGGTAATGTTGGTGACGCTGTGAGAATGGCAATGTTAAGAGTTCGCCAGGAACAATGCTAGTGTCGGAATACTGGTGCGTATGATTAATATCTATTTGGCCGTTCGTTTATCATACGCACTGCAATAAAGATGGGATTGGCCATGAAGCGAGTGTGCGCTAAATTTACCCCCTCCCCCCCTCCCGATTTTGTTGTGTGTGGACACAATTGCAGTATGCATTTGCAACAACACTTGAGTTGTCTGATTAAATATACCCAACTAACATTGATACATACATACGTACGTGCACAGTACATACATATGTGTGAAGCTATGTGATATTGTTGTGAAAAGAACGGTTTCAAGTCCTACAATTTCAGACTTATCCTTTCCCAAATTTCACTCCATAGTCCCCCATCTCTTTAGATTTCAGACAAATTGGAATCCTGCGTACAGGTTACTTTAAGGTTTACTTACGTAAATACGGCCTGGACATACGGAAAATTGGGATTATTTTGAGCATTGATTTTGACGCCCATAGCAGTTTCTACAACAACAAAATATCAGAAAATAGACGTGAGCTCCATTGTGATGCACTGGTCTGGAACTTACCTGCAATAATATCCAGAGCCATTGAACAAATAACTGGGAAGATATTAATTGCTGACTTCCCATCGGCCTTATCGCTCAATTTTTTAACCATTACCCCACTCTGCTGATCGAATATTTCCACAAATTGCTCCAGGATTTTAAAATGGAATGTTGGAGTGATTATCTTACGACGCGAATGCCATTTCTTGCCTGAAATGAAGAGGAAGCACACTCCATCAGTACACGGTTCGAATATGCGGAAATCCCTTAGGCCTACCTGAGCTCATCAGCAGACCAGTGCCCAGCCACTGATGCAACAACTCGTACAAGTTGTTTTTGGTTATGTGCTGGGGCGAACTGAGAATGACCTCCAGATCACGAGGATCCGATGAGAAAACAGCCAACTGTTGGAGTATCCATACGCGGTACATGTCGCCATACTTTTTGCTGTTGTTGGTAATGAATGTCATGATTTCTGAAAGATATATCAATTAAACTGGATCTGATTATCTATAGCCGAGCCTACATTTCGAATGCATTTTCGTAACTGATTACAAATCAACCTACTAATCCGAAATAAGTAGGTATTTTCTGGCCACTAAAGGTCGACAAACAAGTATAAAAAGCACCTGTATAATGCAATTTCAGGGCATTTCAGGGCAATCCTTTTGTTTACATAGCCTGCGGCTAGTTTTAATTTTATTATTTGAAGTTTACGATAAATTCTTACGTCTACATCAACAAGTCATGGTATTTTATTATGTCTTTCTTCTCATTGCCCATGACGAGTCTTCAACTCGCAACACTCGGCTCTGTAGTCGCTCACCCTACGCCAAGAAAAGTAAATTATCATCATCTATTAGCTTCCTCCTACTGGTAATGCATGAATAGGTTTGTTTACATTACATATTAATAGGTTATTCTGATCTGAGATTTATACTCGGAGACATTAGACTGATCTGATGTGAAAATAAGACGTTAATTACATTTTATTTCTAATATTCATTCAGTTAACTGACTATGTTTCCAGTTTCATGGCTGAATGCATCTGTAGAGATTAGATGACGTGCTTCACCGCATCTTATCAAACAAATACACTCGATGGTAATCTAACGGATTTCAGTCGACCATTGAAATGGCGCAAGGTAAAACCAGTACTGTTCTCATTCCTAAAATAGAGTTAATGTCGGACATAAAGATACGACGGCTTTTAATCAGTTCGTAGTTGTTGGCCCACATGCGTGGGTAAAAGTCCAAACCATTCGAAAAATCCGTTGGTAAAACAAAAGTCAAGAGTTTCATTGATTCAAATGCTAGAGCACGATGATCCATTCCGCCAGTCTGCAAACATTGTCGTAGTAAACTTTTTTAGTAACAATACATTTTAATTCATTTTTTGTTATGTTTATTCTATTTTTGTACAGGTAATTGTAGGAGATAGGAGATTTGCTCATCAGCGCCAAAAAAACCTGAGAATCGACCACAAGTCTTTTTAATATCTGGGGATTAAACTCATAAAGAGTTTTTAAATGCACAATTCCGCATATTGAATTTTTCTACGAGTTTGAAACGGATCCACTTCACATGCCAGCCAACCTTTACTTACGTTCGGGATTTTGGCCACGATATGAGAGAACATTCCCCACAACCGGCAAAGGGTTGGGCCCTTTCATGTAGCTCAGCATGTCATTGCGTCGCTTTTTAGATAAATAGTCCCATAACAAAAGCAACGTCACAAACACAATAACAATTTCCAAAATCATTTTTATTCTCGATTTTATTTGCCTCTCCCGCCGACCGTCCGCCCGTCTGTCTTCATATATCGAAATCGAAATCTATACTAAATCACCAGAAACGCTCGAAGAACTTATGCATGTTGTATTCACAAAAAATAAATTGGGCAAATCTAAGAATAGAGAGTCCATTTTTTTGTTATCAAAACAGAGAACAGCAAAGTGATAATAAGAAGTGTGTATTAGGTTGCCCCGGCTTGGACAAGAATTTATGTTCGGTGATGTATGTATTATGAGTGTATCAAATATCGAAAAATGTTCGACATTTATGCCTTGAAGTGGACGATGAATTGCACATTTTGTGATCTAGCTAGTCGCCTTAAAAAGAAATTAGAAAAATGTGTACTTTTATTTCTCCCTCAAAGTGCATTTTTTAATATTTAGCTCGCCATTGCTTTAAAATATGTTTCGCTCCACTCTAAGTTCCAAAGTTGCGTGAGTTGTTTGACCTCATGCCCGCCGACTCACCTGGTAATAACAGGTTATATTACAGCATCTATGCATAGACAAATTAAGATATAGACAACGAAAAGTTAGTTTGGTCTTTTTTTCCAGATGGCTCTCATCATGTTTTGCATAGTCAACATGCTCATTTACGCGTTCAAGCCACTCGACTTCGAAAACACATTTTATCGTTTTTCAAGAATTTCACTGGAATATTCCTATATTTTGCGATGTCATCACGTACTTTTCACATTTCTTTTATTATGAAATAATTTTCAACTGGCAAATATCCTACAGTTTTTGTTATTTTTAACGTTTTAGAATTGAGTGACTTCAATATTCCCACTCAAACCCCTGAAACGATATGAACGACATCTGCTGATTCGATTTTTTTCGAAGATAAACGGTGAGAGCATTTCGTTGTCTATATTTTCATTTGTCTATGATCTATGTTCATCTTTTTTTATTCTCACTGACTCTCCCTCTCTTACTCTCCCTCTCTCGATTTTCCAGAATTTATAATACACTCAACATGACTACAGTCCAACGAAGATCAATGTTATCTAGACAACCTGTCTTGGTTATTTCAACACTTCGTTTGTTTTTATGCTCTCCATGAGAATAATTCCGCTGCTAATTAAATCGAGTGGTAGTGGTACATACATGAGACAGGGGATAGCCCACCAAAAAGGTTACTTTTAAGCTATTTTTGGTATATTTTACAGGGAAGTTACATTTTTATTAGCTATTTAGGCTCTCATCTAAGCATTTTGAAGTGCATTTCGGCACACGTTCCTTACATACATACATATATACATATGTATATATGTACATACATATAAACAATAATACATAGTTTGTTCGAAACACAACAGAGAAATGTAAAAATTTAAAAACAAATGCTTTATTGAAATGCGTTTCTTGCTCTGAGACCCATCTGAGTGCCAGTCGTCGAACGTAGAATTAAACTCAGCGACGGTATTACGTCTGGCCCAATCGGGAGGAGTTCAAAGTGTCGCAATATTTTACTTATGACACTTTTCATCTCCAGCATGGCATACTTTTGCCCAATACAGTTACGTGGCCCGGCACTAAACGGAGTATAGGCAAAGGGGTAGATATCTTCGGCGTTTTCGGCAAAGAAACGCTCCGGTCTAAATTCATTGGCGTCTTGGAAATAGTCAGGATCTCGCAGAACTACAAATAGTGGAATATTGAAATGACAGTTGCCGGGAATAACAACACCATCTGAAAGGGAAACAACAATGTTAGTGGTCATTCGCGTTCATATTTTAGCCATCGGGCGGGTCCTACTCAAATCGGTATCCTCTGCAAAATATCTGCCGATGATTGGCACTGGCGGATACAGACGCATGGATTCCTTTATGACACACTCCATGTAACGCAGATCCTGCAGTTGGCGGTATGTGGGAGCAGTGTTCGCATCTGTCCCAATTACATCTGCGATCTCTTCCAGAAGTTTGCTCTGCACTTCGGGGTGACGGGATATAAGATACAGTGCAAACGACGTGCCACTGGTGGTGGTGTCATGACCCTCAAACATAAATGTCTCCACCTCCTCTCGAATGTCTTCGTTGCTAAGAGGCCTACCCTCGACCGTAGCCCGAAGTAATATGTCCAGCAATGCCATGTGCTGTTTACTTCCCTTGGTGAAGGTTTCTTCCTCATCGGATGGTGGCTGGTCCACACTAATTATGTCCTCCAGAGCTTCTCGCCGTTTCTCAATCACATTTTTGGTGAAGCTCTGCATTTCATTGATGTGCTTCATCATTCTGCGATAAATGGAGGGGGCGAAGACCTTGAAGAGGCTATCGGTGCGCCACAATGGTTTCCTCAAGCGGTCAGAGATTATTTTTGTCACACTGAAAACACACGCACACATCACCTAAATACATGGTTTGTCCAGGAATGGTTCACCATGGCTGACTTACATTTTAACGGAATTCACATAGCCGATATCGGGATTTAGCTGGGCATCGACTTGGACCCCCATCGCGGTCTCTGCAATGATGTCCAAGGCTGTTAAGCAAACGAAAGGAAACATATCCAATGGTGTATTCGGATCTCTGGCCTTCTCTCTCAATTTCTCGACCATGACATTGGTTTGACGATCAAATATCTCCACAAACTCCTCCAGGATTTTGAAATGGAAACTGGGCGTGATGATTTTACGTCGCGTGTGCCATTTCTTACCCGTGCTCATGAGAAGACCGTCGCCCAGCCACAGGGACAACATGTCGTAGACATTGTTCTTCGTTATGTTGACGGGACTGCTCAGCAGGGTATCCAATATTTTTGGATCGGCGCAAAAAATCGCCAGTTCGTGCAGTATCCAAGTGTAGAAGATTTTTCCATTTTCCCGAGAAAATTGTCGTATGCGATCGATGGAATCTAGGCGAAGGAGAAAAGATTACGTAAGTACCAGTCTGCTCTGGGGTTGTCCATTGATTAGCCTACTTTCCGAAGTGGCGCCGATCATGTGCAACGCCCTGCCTACCAGGGGCAAATTGACACCTCCAGTAATTTTCGACCTTGCCAATACCTCATTGCGGTGCTTTTTGTTGAGGTAGTCCCAGATTAAAAGCAAAATAAATGCACCGATGAGAAGGGTCGCCCACATTTCTACGACTAGCTGTGGTCACTGATGTAAAAACAAATGTCTGTATGTTTGTGTGTGTGTGTAGCAATCTATTAATTAAAAAAAAAAACTTTTGAGGGGGAAGGGGTCGAGTTTATTTCCAGAGAACACGTCGACTTGTTATCGTCCGCAACCAAGTGCTTTGTTTGAAATCGCGACACTACTGACGGAGAACAACGCTCCATTCCACAGATAAGGAAATTCAGCTGCTGTCATGGGGAACTCAGAACAAGTTTGCAGTGAGAGCTTGAATGTTTATACGCGTTTCCCGTGTGATGCCAATCGAGAAATCGGGGAATTTTAAAATTCTCGGATTAGAGGTTGGAATTTGTGTTTTATGCCAAAATATAAATATATGGAGGAGAAGTATTGAAAAAGGTGGTGAAGGCTTATTTTTCAATATCATATGTATTTTGGTATAAGGGGAAGAGATAGATAGATAGAGGAACTCCTTAAACTACAAATAGAGAGGTTTCATAGTTTGCGTTTTAAGGACTAACGTTAAGACCTTTCATGAGGCTTACATATTTTTGAAGCTGTGGAAAACAAATCAAAACAATTCAAATGTGTCCGCGTATTGTATATTTTCAGGCTATAAATAATCTTCAGATCTCGCCCCATCATTAGTAATGTTTGCATGTGATCAGCGGATTTAAGCTTTTGATTTCCTCCCAAATATTTCAGTGACTCTTGAATGGGAATTAGTAAAACCTTCAATGGTCAGAGGAATGCTGGCGATTTGTTGTGGGGACATAGAAGAGCTCAAGTTAATGTTCCATTCACGTTCCAATCTTCGACGGAATCCCTAATTCCTACTGTATCGTTTGCCTCTAGCGTTTGAAGCGTGTGCATGAGAACCTGTGTGTGTTGGAAAATTGAAAGAGAAAGCGAGAGTAGAACACGAGAAGCTGTCAACCGAATAACACCGAACAGTGTCAACTGATAACTCCAACAGAGAAGAACATGCTGCTGGAGCTGACGTTGGCCATACTGGCCATTCTGATTGCTTGGGATTATTTGCACAAAAAACAAACAGACGCTTTCTTGGCAAAATCAAATATTAGTGGGCCGAAAGCGTTGCCCATCCTTGGCAATGCCTTGCGACTCAGAAACGTAAACACTGAAAGTGAGTACCGTCGTCCATCAGGACGTATCATCCCACACGAACTTATGTTGGTGTTGTGTGCGTGTATCATTTTCCAGACATAGAGGCAGTCTTGAAGGAGAACACGGCCACGTATGGCAAGATCTATCGTTTCTGGGTTTTCAATCAAATGCATTTGCGGGTAACTGATCCCAAGCTTTGCGAGGCCCTGTTGAGCAGCCAGCACCAGATAACCAAGAGCAGCTTCTATGATTTTTTGATCGACTGGTTGGGTCGTGGGCTGCTGCTGAGCAATGGCAAGAAGTGGCATACGCGCCGCAAGATTATAACACCAGCTTTTCACTTCAAGATTCTGGAACAATTCGTCGAGGTGTTCGATCAGCAAAGTACCGTTATGGCAAAGAGTTTGCTCGCTCAGGCCGATGGTCAAACTGCCATTGACATGTTTCCAGTTGTGTGTCGCATGGCCCTAGACACCATATCGGGTAAGGGATTCTCCACGGTTTGGCAATGTAGCTTCTTAAGGGACTTTCGATTCATTCATTCATTTTAGAAACGGCAATGGGTGTTAAGGTTCACGCCCAAGAAAACCAGGAGTTTGAATATGTGAAAGCGTTAAATTAGTAAGTAAGGCCTGTGATATGTTCTCGTATGTGAACGAATTCCTCTTTCAGCGTATCGACGGTAATGTCCAAACGCTTTGTTAATCCATCGCAAAGAACGTCGTTCCTCTTCAAACTCACCTCGCCAAAGGTGTACAGGGAAACGCAGCGTTGCATTGGCGTCATGCACAGGTTCACAACCCAGGTAATCGAAAAGCGGAGACAAGCCTTGGAAAAGTCAATGGGGGAGGCCAGCAACAAAGGTAAATGCATTGAACGACTAAATCTGATACTGGGGATTAACGAAGAACTTTTGTAGCTGACCCTCCTTCCGAGGAGGAGGAGGACGAAGACGAGTACGAGCACTATGGCCGTAAGCAACGCATGGCTTTTCTCGACATACTCTTGCAATCGACCGTTGACGGAGAACCGTTGAGCAATGAAGACATCCGCGAAGAGGTAGACACATTCATGTTTGAGGGTCACGACACCACCACTAGCGGCATATCGTTTGCCTTGTACCTCATTGCCAGGCATCCGGAAGTACAGGCTCGTCTATTCGAGGAAATTTGCCAAATCGTTGGACAAGATCCCGACAAAGTTTTGTCCTATCGGGATCTACAGGATATGAAATATCTGGAATGTGTGATCAAGGAATCGCTAAGACTTTTTCCTCCCGTACCTGCTATTGGCCGGGAAATTACAGAGGATGTCCAATTGGGTAATTACGATAGGCACATCCCTCAACACAGGTCCCCCTTTTTATCAATTCCCTCGACTTTCCCCTTGCAGGTGATGTGACTTTGCCGGCCAACACGAATGTCGTTTTGTCGTTTTCACTAATTATGCGCAATCCCGACTACTTTCCCGAGCCGGATGCATTTAGGCCGGATCGCTTCTTTGGCGATGGTGATTCCAGTTCGCACGTGAACCCATTCTTGTACACACCATTCTCTGCTGGACCCCGCAACTGTATTGGCCAACGCTTCGCCATGCTGGAAATGAAATCGGTAATCACGAAAATGTTGCTCCATTTCGAGCTGCTGCCCTTGGGACCCGAGGTGCAACGGTTGACAACAATAGTCTTACGTTCGAAAACAGGAGCACACATTGGACTTCGGCCCCGTTGTGCCAAGTGAAATTCCCGTTTCGAATTCTCTCCGTTTAGAGGATTATACGACCGCCACCGAAATCTAATCTTCACGAATGAAAGCTATTGAACATTGTTCGTTCCCCTCAACGCTCGCGAGTATCATTCATATCTTGCTTGTCATGCTGACCAGAATTTTTGTTAAACTTATCATCACCGCAGGCGTTACGCGCCAACAGCCGAATAAGCATTGCTCAGCGTTTTGCAAACAGAAACATTAATATGTACTAATAATCATTACCATGCAAATTTGCAAAAAGGTGAAAGTAGAAATAAATGTTGAGACCAACAACAAAATGCGTAATTATTTATGTAGCAAGGATATGAAATAAAAAAAGAAACGTACTAGAGTTAGCATCAAGACATCAAAAGTTATTCTGCATGGAATCCTTGAGAAAGAAAGAAATTCTATAAAATTCAGAAGTTTTGCGACACATTGATCGATTTGTGTAACAAGTTGAGTGCTACCCAAAGGCCAATGGCCTACCTTTGGACTAAAATTTCGAGGAGTTACAACATCGTGGACAAAACATTCTCAGAACACTCTCTCTCTCTCTCTCTCTCTGTAGAGCATTTAGAGTGGGATATTTTTCGATAAAAATTATTTCTTATCTTCGGAGTTTTATTTCAAAAAAATATAAGAAAATGCCTTCGAAAATAAAAACTATTAATATTTTTTCACTAAATCGATTAACTCTGCAGGGTAATTCACCTAACATCGAGGGATAGATGATTTACAATTCAAAGTAATTTTGAAAAATTCTAAAATATCCCTACGACATTTCACCGAATATAGTGTTATTTTTATTTCCAGTGTCTTGTGAGAGCCACAGCGTTCTCACAAATGCGCATCGGCATGGTAGTTCTTTGGAATGACTTTCTTCGAAGCCTCTCATACGTTAGGGCCATTCACCGCATTGATGTTTGATCTGGATTTCAAATATTTTTGTTGTTATTTATTCTATTTTTGTATTGGAAAAGATAACATCCATGGCACACACTATGGGGCTTGATAACGATAATCGGAAAGCCAAAATTTCACATTGAAACAAGTGTGACCAGGGTTAGAACAGAAACATTATTCGATCGGAGAAGACATAAAACAACTGGGTCGCACTTTGATCAAAATGATAATTGAAGTGGTTGTGGGTTTGTTTACGTGCCTCCTGGTGTGGGATTACTTTTACCGGAAACCATTCGAGGATTTGTACAAGCAGTCGGGCATTAAGGGCCCAAAATATTTGCCATTCATAGGCAACGTGCTGCTGGCTTTGAAGAACGACACTTCTAGTGAGTGAAAATGATGGCCACCCGGCCACGCGGCCACCTTACACTAATGCTAACGTCCAAATTACAGATGTCTTTGAGATGCTGAATAACTTGTGCAAGGACTACGGAAAAGTTGTCAAAATATGGGTATTTGGCGATGCTGTGCTCTTCGTCCGGGATGCCAAGTTCTTTGAAAGTATTCTCAGCAGTCAGCAGGTGATCAAGAAGAACCGACTGTATGCACTGCTGGCCAGTTGGTTGGGTGATGGTTTGCTGCTCAGCAGTGGCTCGAAGTGGCACTCGAGACGCAAGATAATAACGCCCACGTTCCATTTCAAAATTTTGGAGGAATTCGTAGAGGTCTTTGACCAGCAGAGCAGTGTACTGGTTAAGCGACTGCGGTCAAAAGCCGATGGCAAGACCGTATTGAATATGTTCCCCATAATCTGCCTCACAGCCTTGGACATCATTGCGGAGACGGCCATGGGTGTACAAATCAATGCCCAAGCAAATCCAGACTTCCCCTATGCCAAGGCATTGACAAGGTAAGCGTGAGAACGACGACAAGGGAGATTAGCGCTTTACCAATTTTCCTACTTTGCCATAGCGTTGCCGACATAATAGCTACGCGCTTTGTAAGACCCACCCAAAGCTTTGATCTGCCATTCAAACTCTTTGCCAACAAATCGTATCGCAAGATGATGAGGGACATCAAATTGATGCAGGAGTTCACGGACAAGGTTATCGTTGAGAGGAGGACACGCCTAGAGGAATCTATTAAGAATGGAACCTTCAACTCAGAAAGTATGTTGGACCAACTCAATTCTCCGCTAACAATGGACGTTGCCTTTCGAGGCCGTTGAGCACGTAGTTCACTTTTAACATTCCCCACTTTCTTTGTAGCCAACGAAATGGGTATCAAGAAGCGAATGGCTTTCTTGGATGTACTACTGCAATCCACCGTCAACAACAAGCCCCTGACCAACGAAGATATCCGAGAAGAGGTCGACACATTTATGTTCGAAGGTCACGACACAACCACCAGTGGTATCTCGCACACCCTGTACCTCTTAGCCCGCCATCCCCAAGTCCAGCAAAAGGTATTCGAGGAAATCCTAGAAGTTATAGGCAGCGATAAGGACAAACCCGTGAGTATGAGAGAACTGCAGGAACTAAAATATCTGGATGCAGTGATCAAAGAAAGTTTGCGCATGTACCCGCCGGTCCCCATGATTGGTCGTGTCACCGAGCACGAAGTGAAGCTAGGTACGGCCGGTTTCCATGTTTGTTTCTCACAAAACATAATAATAATTATCCTCCATCTGCAGATGGCAAAACCCTTCCGGCAAATGTTCAAGTGAATATCCTGATCTATGCTGCTTGCCGGGATCCCGACTACTTCCCCAATCCAGACTCATTCGAACCAGAGCGCTTCATTGGCGAAAGCAGTTCGGAAAAGTACAATCCCTTTTCCTATGTGCCCTTCTCAGCGGGGCCCCGCAACTGCATTGGTCAAAAGTTCGCCGTGTTGGAGATGAAGAGCACCATCAGTAAAATGCTACGCCATTACGAGCTGTTACCCTTGGGAGATGACGTACTACCGGTTATGAATCTAATTTTACGTTCTGCAACAGGAATAAATTTAGGCCTGAAACCACGAGAGTATTAGAACAATTAATAAAACAAAACAAAAAGGAAAAGAAACGAAATTAATGTTTTTTTTTTAATTTTTAATTTGGTACAGATACCATTACCAGTATCTGGAAAATAGTTGGATTCTTATAGTTCCGAAAATGTAAACATTCACATCATCCGGTTTAGATCTCCATTGACTTGAAATTGACAACAGATCAGAATTTTCTGAAGAGCAAAAACCATATTTTTTGGCGACTCATCTTAATTTTGACCATTGCGATATTAAATGATATTTTTTGATCAAAGCACCCATTACATTTTATCTACCTTCAACTTATTTTTTTCTAATGGACCAGAGAGTCTCTGAGTGGAAAATTACCCTGAAAGTTAACCATGACTAGATAAGACACTGACCCAATTTCAGGGATTTGTTTTTTTCGGGACGCGGCATGCATGGTACAACAAAAATTCTTCTACCTTGGCATCTGAAATGAGAACACTCAACCACATGATTTCCGAACCAATTGATTTCTGCTGACAATGAACTTGTAACTCCAAGTGGAATTACTCATTATTATATCGACTCTAAAAAAACAATAAATTAACATTTTCGGAAGAGCGGTTCTAAGGAAATCCAGTATTGAAAAACCTGTTTACCCACCGAAATGCAAAAAAACGATCCGCTATGGTGATCGAACTTTTCCTTATCTTAATCAACAAAAAACTGCCGGTAATTTTTTAGCTTCCACACGACATTGCGATTAACATAGGCTTGTGTCGGACAGCTTGTTTTCGTTCAAATCACAAATACAACAACAAACAGTGTGGATAACCCAGAGCAATGACTGCACTGCCACAGTTAATTGCTAACACGAAAGTTTTGTTGTTCTAAATAAAAATATGTTATGGTGTCAAGGTGAGAAGTGCACTTGGAAAAATATGGATGAGGTCAACAGGCTCCCAACACTTTTTCATTCAAAATCTATGGGAATCCATTGATACCCTATACTTTGTATCCTAAGGATATTTAATGCAAGTGATGTCCTTTTAGTGCTGACAGCTATGGTTTCATGGCACCGACCACACCATATTAACCCATATCGTAAACACTCTTCTCAGATCTTCTGAGATTTAATCCAACATTGTTCGCAATGAAACACCCAACACTTCCACCAGTAGGGTGTTTCGTATTCGCTTCAACGAGGTCAACTTCATTGATTGAAAACATTTGTTTCATTACACTTTTGCTACGAGCGCCAATGATTTAAATGCCTGGTAGGTAATGAGATTTGAAAAAGTGAATTCAGTTTCCAAACATAATCGATCGCATCAAATACAATTTCGCTCAGATCGTTTTGAAATCAACATCGCAGAATGTTAACGCTCGTTGCAGTCGCCTGCCTTGCGTGCCTCCTGGTTTGGGACTATTTCCTAAAACGGCGGAGGAATCGAGTCCTTAACGAATCCGGCATACGAGGTCCTACGCCGATAGTACCCGTCATTGGAGATTCCTGGGTAGCATTGGGAAACAACACTTCAAGTAAAGAATATATGCGTAAAAAATTGCAAAAGAAAAAAAACTATTTTCATTTAATTTCGCTCATTTTAAGACGTTTTCAATTTGTTTGCGACCCTGGGTCAAAAATATGGCAAAGTCTTTCGCGTGTGGTTATTCAATGAACTGATGCTGGTAACTAAAGATGTCAAATTTTTTGAGACTATTTTGAGTAGCCAAGGATTCATTTCGAAAGCCTTTATTTACGACATGCTTTCGCCGTGGCTAGGCGACGGCCTGTTACTTAGTTCGGGCTCAAAATGGCACAGTCGACGCAAAATGTTGACACCCACATACCATTTTAAAATACTGGAGCAATTCGTAGAGGTGTTCGATCAACAGAGTCGGGTTTTGGTTAAACGGCTATACAACGTGGCCGATGGCAAGACGGCACTTGATATGTTTCCAGTCATCTGTCTTACGGCCCTCGACATTATAACCGAAACAGCTATGGGTGTCAAGGTCAATGCTCAAGATCATCCCGAATTCCCCTATGCCAAGTCGGTAAAAGAGTAAGTTTGAATGCCCGCATACAGATAATCATCTCATATGAATGTTATTCAAATTCTCAAGTGCAACAAATGTGATTGCCACAAGGGCCATGAAACCGGTTCAATACTTCCAACTCGGATTTCTACTGACAGCCTTTCCCTCGTATCTGAAACTTAGGAAGAGCATACAAGTCATGCATGAATTTACGGACAAAGTAATTGCTGATAGAAAACGCAAACTGGAGTCAGGTTTCAATAGTAAAGCGGGGCCATTACCGTCCGGTGAGTGAGCTAACATTGTCAATTAAAACAAAACAAAAACCATATTGCATCCGGTTTGCGATTTCCTCAAATCATTTCATCGTGATTTTGAACAGTCATAACCGATACATGTTTCCATTTTAGCGGACATCGTGGATGATCTTGGACAGAAAAAACGCATGACGTTTCTGGATGTCCTCCTGCAATCGAACATCAATGGACGTCCCTTGACGCACGAGGAAATACGTGAAGAGGTCGACACATTTATGTTCGAGGGCCATGACACCACGACCAGTGGCATATCACACTGTTTATACCTATTATCACGTCATCCGCACATACAGCAGAAAGTCCTACAGGAAATCTCCGATGTTATGGGAGAGAATGTAGAGAAGAGAATAACTATGAGAGAATTGCAAGATTTGAAGTACTTAGAGGCTGTTATCAAGGAGACTTTACGTTTATATCCTTCAGTGCCAATAATCGCACGCTATACCGACAAGGACGTGGAAGTGGGTAAGTACTTAAACCCGATCTCCTTAATTAATTATGTGTATTAAATGGGAAATGAAACTAATTGACAGATGGACAAATTATACCGGCCAAGAGCACGGTCACTCTATTGGTATATGCCCTCGCCAGAGATCCCGACATTTTTCCAAATCCCGATGAATTCATTCCAGATCGCTTCTTCAGTTACCAGGCTGAGAAATACAATCCATTTGCATATACGCCATTTTCGGCCGGCCCCGCAATTGCATTGGCCAAAAGTTTGCAATTCTGGAAATGAAGACAACAATATCGATGATACTGCGCAAATTTGAGCTCTTGCCCCTTGGGGCGGAAGTGGTGCCTCAGATGAATATGATTCTACGCTCGGCTACTGGCATTAACTTGGGCCTTAGGCCACGCATCAAATAATAGTCATGCAATAATAAAAATATATCATAAGATAGTAATATCTTGGAAGTTTAGTTTTTCATTAATTTTTTTTATTATATTTTAGAGGTCATCGGTCAGAAATTTACCAAAAACCATAATTGCTTGTACTTGATATCATCACTAAAGCCCTTTCTAACTAGATATAGAGCGAAAACTATAAAATAAATTAGATTTTACTGGCATCACGAGCTCTACACCGGCTTGTCCCAGTACTTAAAAAATACAAATAACATGGGACAGTCATGGCGATAACTTGAAACCTTGTTTACCTTGCATATTTTCCGTACGGCACAAATCAATTGATTGGTAGTATTTGCAATTCATATAAGCTCTCAATTACTAATTGGTAGTACTTAACAATAATATTACACTTTATAGCTAATATGGTGCAAATTGGCGTTTATTTTATCGGAACAAACTTTCTATATTCACAAAACATTCATAGAACCTTTTGAGTACAACTATAAAAGCTGGTAACGGTCGTATCCATGTTAATAGGTACGCAATTAAAAAAAAAAAACAATTCATTATCCCGTATTTTATGAAATAAATGAAATGGAATTAAAAATTTAGGGGAATATAGTAAAAAACCAGTATTGTAACAATTTACTTGCACATGAGGAGTAGGAGCTGACAAAGTTGTTCTCAGATGCTGCAGTTGTTCTCACTTTACGGCTTGCAGAAATTTGTTATCACAAATACAAAATTCAAATTCATATGACAACAAAAATCTTATCAATGAAAGGCAACTGCATTGCGGCCTTGCTGCGCTTGGAGCTACAGTGTGGCGTTGGGTATTTCTTGTTTTATATACACATATACAATATTCACTTCTACTTAGATGCTAACAAATGCGTGCGATTTACATTTTGAAGGCCTGCAAATTAAAAAAATAAGGCCTTTTTACAATTTCGTTCTTGTTTTGTGGTCGGCCACTACATTTTGTAGCGCACCATTCGCATTCGAGAGTTAAATTATCAAAATCAATTTAGAATTTCTACGGTCGCCTCTTAATCTTCGGTGTAAAAAGCTTTGGAAAATGTTGCTTTGCATTTTGTGTGCCCTGGTATTCATATTAACGCATATTTTTTTGTTTTAGCTCCTAAGAAAACTAGCATTTTACTGAGTACTATAACTAATTGACCACGGATACTATCGAAATGAATTATGTTAGTTTAAGTTGAGTTAGTTGGGAAATACCCGGTTATTCGAACGGATAGTTCGGATACAAAATGGAAAAAATTACTTTGCCTTAATCAGGTTAAAAATTCCTACCATTTACAAAAATTGGAAAATGATCCGAGCATAGCCCTTAAACTCAACTTGCTCCGAAATTTTAAATTTACGTCCTCTTTAGGTATGTCGGCACTTTCGGCCGGACTAAATTTTCTCGTTACTTCCCTTAAAATTGTTATTAAACAAGGAGTAGGATACTTAATTTTCTATAATTGACCAGAAATAATATTTTTGGTTGTTTATTGGAACCACTCAATGCCCATTTTTATACAAGTAAATAGAATTATATTTGTTAAATTCCATTAATGGGCCATGTATAGTTTTGGAGTTTTGGTAGTCACATCTATTACTTTCCAATAAACTGTGATCACAATATTTTATTTCGTTTATCTAAATTAATCCCATTTATAAAATTGTCCTGGCGTTGGCAAACGACTGGCGGCTGCCGGTTTAGCATCGCCAGCAATCTTTAGCTGTTCCTTTACCAAATCAACTGGTGGCGCTACAAGGCGACGTGGATCTCTTCCGTGATAGTAACAATCAGACCTCAGTACAGGGTAAGGGATTTCTGGTGGTGGTTGGGTGCGATCAGCCAGACCATCTTCAAAGCGAAGCGCTACTGTGTGTTCCCGCTGCAAAAAAAAGCAGGTGTTATCATCCTGGATCTTACATAACCAAAACGCAGCATCTACATAAAGTTCCATTTAAACTTACACCCAAAAGAAAGGCCCTTAAACGTTGCAGGAAGGGAGCAATGTCACGACGTGCAGCCATGATTATATATCGCTAAATATGTGGAAACAAATCAACTAATTGCAAATAGGACAAATTGTATAAACTGAGAAAATACCGTCAACCACACCGATGCCAGTAACTCACTGAATTTCACCGCCGTAAGAACCACAGACCAAAACGGAAACGCGTGATAAATATGAAAATCAAAACAAAAAATCGAAATGGTAAAGAAACCAGCTGATATGTTCACTACATGAGCGAAGGGATTAGATGCAAAAACAACGGTTCTCTGAAACACAAATAAGAACATCTCGGTCGTCGAAATAATCTTAACTGGTTCACCTTTCTTATTGGGTAAATTTCCAGTACATCTTTTTAAGCAAGTTGATTCTTGGACTACTGTGTAAAACGTGTAAAACGCTATTTACTCGCCTTCACATGTGGACAATTTTAGTAATCTTATTTTATTTTCCCTCGGCATCAAAACACAGCTAAAGTCTTCTTCCATCCTTGTGTTTCGACTTTAAGGTCATTTGCATTGTACTATTTAGTAGAAGAGCGACATCTAGTGAAAACTGTACAGATTATTACATTTGAATAAATATCTAAAATACAACTCTGATTTAAGCGAAATTGTTGTTTTGAAAGTAGAGTGTTAGATCCCTAACACCTTTTGGTATCAGCTGGTAACCTTTTCTTCCAATCACCCTTCTTCGTTGGCTATCAATTCATTTAGATTTTCATTGATTTCATTCGAGGCCAAGGCATAAATAAATAATATGATATTAGTACTTGCTAAAAAAATACGACATAATTTGGTTGTGTTATGTATGTGGTGGGATGGCCCGCTCCGAAGTTAACAATAACAAAAAGGGTAAATGACGATTATATGAAAACGATAGTAGTGGTGCTATCAACACATTTGAATACCTCTTTATCTGGGTATGAAGAAGCATTGTTGGTTCTACATTTCGCCAAATCTGTTAGACGCGCTTGCCTTTTCTCGGAAGGATGAATCCAAATCGCGCATTACCCCAATCCAAAGAGGCTTTATTGAAATCTTATCAAGTGCGGTTGAAAGATGATGTTAAAAGCATGCTTGAAAACTTTGAAGGTAAGAAAAAAGCTAGAAATACACATGTACGTGATTTTCCTAAAAATTGAGGCGTTTATCAAAGTAGCCGTCGACTTGATTCCTAATTAAACAGTCAGCGATATTTAATAATCTCACATTTCCTAGTACTCAAACTGTCAAACATTTTGATGCGGACAGTCTACATGGATTTTGTGGCAACAGCCCTACAGTTGCCAGTATAATCCTTGAACTAGTATAAATAAAAAATTCCAAATCACCATTTGCAGTATCTAGTACTTTATAATTTCACCAGCCTTGGGGCGTCCTTAATTGATTGGGTTCGGAAGAGGGTGTGCCGCTAATTATCTTTTACAACTGGAGTAATGCATATCAAGACAATTTTTCTTATAAATATCGATTATACAGAGGCTTATTTATTAATCAAGTTTGCGTTTACATTAAAAATTAACTTAAGAATACATTTGCGAATGTCCATCATATGAATTCGGGTTAAGAATGCTTTATTTCTTCTCCAACATGTCCCTCAAATAATCCAAACCTTCGTAGAGACCTTTTCCAGTTGTAGCCGTTGTGGCATGAACGTGCCAGTCTTGTTTAAGTGTATGCAATTCCAGCCGCTTCGTTAGGTCCGCACAGCTCAGAGCATTTGGTAAGTCTTGCTTGTTGGCAAATACTAGTAACACAGAATTGGCCAGCACCTCATTCGACATCATTCCGTGTAATTCTTCTTTTACGTCGTCCATACGCTGTACGTCTGATGAATCAACTACAAAAATGACAGCCGATGTGTTGGGGTAATAATGATTCCATAGATTTCTTATTTTCTTTTGGCCACCGATATCCCAAACTGTAAAACAAATGTTCTTATATTCGACTGTTTCAACGTTAAAGCCAATGGTAGGAATAGTTGAAATAACTTCGCCGATTTTGAGCTTGTATAGGATCGTGGTTTTGCCAGCACCGTCCAACCCCACCATTAGTATGCGCACATTTTGCTTGCTTAGGAAATTGTTGAGGAGATTTGAAATAAGCAAACCCATCTTCGTTCAAAATTAGTGATTATTCAAATATCAAATCTTTTAATTTGCTTTCTTTGTTTTTTTTTTTTTTTTCTTTGCTTTTGTAAATACTGCCACTTCTTAAATTTCTTTTCACAATCTCACGAATCTCTCCGTAAAGTTCTCTGACTGACGTGGTGGCAAACAGCTGAGACATGTCGCCATTTTATTCCTAGTGTCAATAGAACGATGAAAGAACTATACATACTGCAGGGATGGAAATTTTAAATTGTACGTTTTATCTTTCAGAAATTATAAAACTCGCTAGAGGTGAAGGCGACTCTCAAATATCGAAAACCACACAGTGTGAACAAGATACTTATGAAATGCAAGTCCGTGCAGCAAACATAGGTAAATTTCAACAAAAATAAAAAAAGATGTAAATAATAGTTCTTTTTTTCAGTGCGTGCGGGTGAATCTCTGATGAAGTTGGTTTCAGATATTAAACAGTATTTAATTTTAAATGACTTCCATTCAGTCAATGAGGCTATTGCTAATAACTCACAACTGTTTCGCACCACCCAGAGGGATTGTGACAAAAAATTAATGAAATTACGCGATGAGATGGCAATGGATTTGTATGATCTAGAGGAGGAGTACTATACGAGTATATTTAAATAGTACCTTAAGTATTCCAAAAGCTAATAAAATAACCGTTTTGGTAGGAAGTTGAATGGTATTTTCATTATACCGTTGTTTTTTGTTTCTAAATTAACATTTACTTTATGTAAAAAGTGTTATTTACTGTGCACCTATAGTTATTGTTATGTCAAAAGAAGAAAATTGCAAAACTAGTAGATTCATGCAGGTTCCGGAACATAGCACTTGTTGCATATCTATTACGGTAGTTCTAACAACCGGTGTTATAAAAGTATGATCAGTTATATAATAACTTTTTTTACATTCTTCCAATCCTGGAACAGAGTTTTTATTGTAGCACGATTGCACTGTACCAGAACTGCAAGCAAGAACATTTAAAAAATTATAAAACTAGAAGATTTCATGGTACAATAAGGAGGTAGAACATCTTCGTAAAACTATAGAAATACAGCACTGAGGTTACGGCCGCTTCCTGTCAGCATTATCCAAAATTCCGTGCAAAAAGTAGTTTTCATTTATTTAATAAATAATTTATTTAATAAAGAAATTTATTTAATAAAGAAATACTCAGACTTGCTTTCAAAGTTTTGATTCAAAATCTTTTATCTGTCAATTCTACGACAAAACCGGGTAATATCTTTAATACGCGCCCGCCATACTGTTTATATATTTCTTCCAATCATTGATTTTGAAAATATTTTGTTTTTTTTTTTTTCAAAACTATAAACACATACACAACATTGGCAGAAGTCGTTCACACTAAGAAAAAAATTGTTACCAGCTGGAAGCTCTAGCTTACCTTTTTATTATGGTACAATGAAATAAAGGTAATCCTCATTTCAAATTAGCATACCCAGCTCAGCATTTTCTGTAATTTACATTGTCAATTTTCAATGCATAAAAACAGTTCCCATCTCTGATTTTGTGTGTATACAATGTATTTATGAATAAAGATTTTAGACAAGGAGGTGATGTCAAATGTATGAATATGAAAAAAATTTAAAAATATAATTACATGGCTTTACCTTCTTAGTTCTATCATGGTGTATAACTTGTTCCGGAATTGTGAGAATGTAGAAGTTTTTATTACCATGACAGATTTTTCCTTTATAATATTAATACTTGCAAACTATAGTTTCTTGCAGGTTCTGGAACAGAGCAATATCTGTAATCGTTATCGTGGTATCGATACCCTTTTAAGCCAGCTGATTCTTAGGCTAAAAGACAGCTGTTTTCTAGACCAAAATGTGTTTCTAGTACCCCATAGACTATTTTTTCGATCTTTTAGAGCCCTGCTGACCGAATTCGATTTTGTAGAAACCTTGTAGAAGTAGAAGATTTAGAAAAACTCGACTGAAAAACAAATTAATTTTGAGTGGTATGGTATTCTTTTCCATTTGTAATGACACAAACTTAATGGTAATCTGGATTTTTATTAATTTTTCACTAATAGAACCCACTACAAACCGCACCGATGAATTTTCTCAGGCAAACATTCAACGTTACGAAACAATTGACTACGCAAGGTAAATTTATAACAAACATCATGTTCTTAGTTGACATATCCTTCAGTAAATGGCTATATTGCGTCTAGTTTAAGAACAACCATGCACTCGAAATGTAAAATAGGATGAATGTTTCTAACCACTGAAGGCCCACAAAAACCTGCTTTGTTTCGTAAATGCTTTCTAAAGTCTCAAGGAGCTATAATATGAGGTCTGTAGCAAATTTGTTTCACAGACCCTCAGTGAACATTCGATATTTGAAATATACATTAGGGCAAATTCTTGGGAATATATATTATGGAAAATTCTTGTCAGGCGAAGTAAATAAGAAAGGTTTTTAACCAAATGAGAGATAATGCAGATAGGACAATATAGTTTAACTTCAGATCGGTACATTCATGGCACAATAAATAAAGGATAGTTCAATGAAACCTCAAACAATATATTCTTTTAGGTGTCCCATTTCTATCGAAACATATGCGCAATTTGTGCATGTATTGTATTGCTTTGAATGTTTCCAACCTTTTTGGAGCATTTAAGGGATTTATAACAAACATTAAACATTGCAACAATAATACAATTACCTAATTATTAATATAATATTATTACCTAAGTTTTTACACATCTTCGTGGGTTAATTTGTTTTAATATTTAATTCTTTTTTAAGGTTAAAATTATAATGCACAGATGCTTTTGGGACCTTGGCCCTATGGGATAGGTAACTGTACATGTGGAAAAATAAAAAAGTGGCAAAATAAGAATTCATTAGAAGACATTGAAAATAATTCAATTCAAAACACAAAATGTAACTTTTTTTGCACATTGCTTCAAAACATGTAAACAAATTGTAATTTTGTCCAGCAAAGAACTAAGAGAATAATGATTGCATATGATTCCGGACTTTATCTTTCGCCATGAAGTAAAGAAAAAGCTTTCTACAAGCTCGTGCATGGCTAGGACTGTAGGTACAAAAATAACATTTATTCTCAAGTAAATTTGTAACAGAAAATATGCTTGTGTTTTTGCATACATTACATTTTGCATATGTATAGATTTATATGCATTTTGCAAGATTTAGCATGGAGTGCTTTAACGAGATCAATCGTCGATGTAGAGCCATGTCTGGGAACGTACGATATTCTTAAATAGATCTAGAAAAACGAGGCAACAAAAATATGTCACTCAATTCATTTATGTCAGGCTTAAATGTTCCATATCCAGCAATTTGTCTATAACTAAAAAGCAATTTGGAGCTGACCGAAATATATGTTGAAGGATTATTGTTAAATATAATACAAAAACAATCCCCGAAAACTTTCAGATACATATCTGTTAGAATAAAAATGCTGAGCTTTCTAAAAGCATAGTTTCCATCCTGTTCGATGTCCACACTTTTGACACGATTACATGGAACAAACTTTCTAAATTTTCTCGGTTACTTGCGTTTAGAATGATTTATTTCTCAATCTAAAATAATATTCATATCATGTTAGAATCAGAAATTTTATATTAAAAAATATTTGTCCGATGTACATCGAAAAAGGCATTTAAGAAAACGAAATGTCGTATCGAATTTGACACTAATGTTAAAGTAGATTAAAATCCGCTGAGCTTTTCTACTACGTTTAAGTAGTCTCAAAATAGTTAGACGAACGAAGTGGCACACAAAACAGTATTTAAGTATACCTTTGCGATTTTATACCCGTTATCCCAAATTCGCATTGAATGTATATAATAAAAATACTATTACGTACATTAACCTTTTTAGTACTTTGAATATATTTCCAAATGTGATTGACAAAAATATACGTTACAATGCATTCATCTTCAAAGCAAAAGAAATTTCATTTCAACAAATCACAAATTGATTTATGTAAATATTTAACTGGCATATAACCATTCAAATAAATGTCAAATCATTCAGTTATTTTTGCATCCATATTCCCCGTGCCATCAAATGCATCTGTGTTTAAGGTTTTCTTTGCCATATGGATGTGTCGCACTTCAGGAGCATGTTGGGCAGACGCCAATCACAACCCAACAATTTCATTGGCGGCTGTAGACCGCAGGTGTTATTATTGATAAAAACGCCCTCTTCATATTATCCTAGCTAAGGACATTAATTGGATGATGTGGCAAATTTTGAATTCGATACTTCATAGTTATATTTTCAACCCCTTTAATGAAGTGCTAGTGAAGTCTGGGAGTTTTTATAAATAGTAGGATTGTGCTCTGCATACTTGTGTGTGAAAAAGAAAAAGATTGCGCGTAAAGTAACAAACAATTCATATATTTTTTAGAATAAAAAAAATCATGACAATTACATATGACCGGTATTTAATATTTATATCAAGTACAACTAACCAGCACCCAACATACCAAAATGGCTCGAGAGTTATTTTAAATGAGCTTAAGGGCAATAAGCCTTAAGCTTAAGAAAATCTTTTAATATATTCAAAACAAAGAAGGTGAACCCTTTTATATAAGATTATGTATCGAACTCATTCTTGTAATAGCATTTAAAATTTAGTTTTGCCCCAGATGCTACTGCCTCCTGTGGTCTTAATACGTAGTAGTTTTCCCTTCCTTAAACAAATTTGTCAATTTGAACACGTTAAGCAGGGCTTCGCTTCTGATTTGAATCGATTTTAAATCGACCAGCTATTTCTGTAAATAAACCGAAACATAACTCAAACCATTGCCAAAAAAAACTTTTTAACCGAACCAACCCAAGCCCACAAGCATTTAAAAAAAAATGATATGACAAACTGTTTTTCTACTATCATTCTAAAGCTGTATTGTCTTTTTATTTCTTTTCGGTTTGTTGAGTAAATTCGAATACAAAACTTTAGAAATGCTTTGTGTAAGAAAATTATGATATGACAACGGTATTCCTATCCCATTCTGAATATTTAAGTAAGTCCCTATAAATTCACTTCATACAAAAACGTTTAAAAAGCAAACATATCGCCAGAAAATTGTGATACAGTACAGCCTAAAATTCAAATGATTCTCACACACAACAACAAATATGGAACTGTATAGTCTGATACACAAAT